TGCGGAATCATCAGTACGCTGATGATACCCAGCTCTACCTCTCGTTTTCCACCAATCCAGGTGAGGCAGTGGCTGTACTGAACCAGTGCCTGGCCGAGGTAATGGGCTGGATGAGGGCCAATAAACTGAAGCTCAATCCAGACAAGACGGAGGTCCTGTTGGTAGGCGGTTCAGGCTTCGGAGAAGGTGAATTGAACCTTGTCCTGAACGGGGTTGCACTCCCTCCTAGGGATAAAGTTCGCAGCTTGGGAGTGCTCCTCGACCCGGAGCTTTCACTCGAAGCTCAGGTAACAGCAGCAGCGAGGAGCGCTTTCCTCCAGCTTCGGCTGATTCATCAGCTGCGCCCCTATCTGGAGTGCGACTGCCTCGCAACAGTGACTCATGCACTGGTGACTTCCCGTCTTGACTTCTGTAACGCGCTCTACGTGGGGCTACCCTTGAAGACGGTCCGGATACTTTAACTGGTTCAAAATAGAGCTGCCAGGCTGCTGACGGGGACTGGACGTTATGTTCACATGACTCCAGTTCTCCGTCAGCTTCACTGGCTCCCCATTGAAGTCCGGGCCCAATTCAAGGTGTTGGTGATGACCTATAAAGCCCTAAACGGCTTGGGTCCTGGTTACCTGAAGGAGCGCTTACGTCCATATATGCCCAGTCGCCCCCTGAGATCAGTGGGAGAGGCCCTCCTCCGGGAGCCCTCAGTGAAGGAAATTAGGAGGGTGGTTACTCGGAGGAGGGCTTTCTCAGCGGTGGCGCCTAAGTTATGGAATGCGCTCCCCAGAGAGGTCTGCCTGGCGCCGTCGTTATTTGTTTTTCGGTGCCAGGCGAAGACCTTTTTATTTAAGCAGCATTTTAAATGTTAATATCATTGAATTTTATTTGGCCAGGGCGGCTTATTTTATTCCAGTGTATATATTTTAATTGTTATTGTTTTAATTTATTGTGTATTTTATTATGTTGTGAGCCGCCCCGAGGCTACGGCAAGGGGCGGCATAGAAATGTTTTAATTAATAAATAATAAATAAATAATATAAAACGCACAGCTACAGAATCCGACCAGTCCAAAGTCTGCACTTAACATTTGCAATGGAAACTTCCACCCTTGACTGTGCCTGAAAAGGATTTTTGCTGAAGAATATTCAAATGCATGGTATAGTTTGAATACAATATCAAAACAGGCCAAGTGTGTACAGAATCTCCAAAGGGAGTGTTTTCAGAGATACAGAGCAGAGGTCATCTAGTGTAAATTCCTGAAATGGAGCAGGCACTCCTATAACCCACTTGCTACTAACAGGTTATTCTGTGTCATTCCAGTTAGTGTTCCATGGTTAGGGGCAGGCAGGCAAGCAAGCTAAGTGTACTGCACCATAGGAGCTCAAATGGCAATGAATATATTTGAGGGGGAAATCAGCTGGCTCTGGCAAGTGAGCCACGTAATATGCTACATGAAAAGCCAGGATTTTAGTTTTACCAGCCAGTCTTTTAGCCTCTAACTGTGAAACCAGAACACATTCACAAGACTAAACATTTCACATCTTTTCCCAAGCAGTTGCTGATTAGAACTGTTGAGACTCCTTAAAAATGGCTTTATAGCAAACTTTCCAAACATGTTGGCAGAGATTACTGTGGTCTCCTGATTGCGTAAGAATCTTCATCATTTGGTCCAATAGATGATGTATGATACTCTGGAAAGCACAACACTGTATCTGTGGCAAAGAGGTGATTTCTTCATTTCATCCTCTTTTTCTACCAGGTCCTTTTCACCATGTACTTTAGCCACTGTTTTCTCTGCTTCTTAAAATCAAGAACTAAAAGATTATCAGATTCTGGGAAACAGCAAGAACTGTATGGGGGAAGTGCAGGGAAGGGGCTTGGTACAGGACAAAATGCTCAGCAAGCACGGAGGTCAGAGATAGTGCTCTGCATTCTATAGGATGGATGCAAGGAACTTGCCTTGTCTTATGCTATAGGGAATGGAAGAAATACAGAGCTACACTACATATAGAAATGCCCAACAGAGGCAGCTCTTTTGTTATAACTTACACATGCCATTGCTTCCCCTTTAAACGGCAAAGGCACCCACAGCTGGAAACTCCTCCAAGTTAATACAGCCCCCCCACCATAAGAGCAGCCACACGAGAGGCTCATTAAATGTTTCTAGCTGGCAGGAGGCCAGAACCAGAGCTTGTTTGTTCTATATTCCGATAAACAGTCTGTCCTGGGCTCTAGAAGCAGAATCATGGGGAAATCTACAGCTGCAGCATGAAGAAAGATTCACATGAACAAATATTATCCTGGCTGTTTTTTCCCCTTTGCAACCTTGAAAATTGCTAATAGCTATTTCTGGCAGGGGGACTTGGTTTCCCTGTGGGACCTTCTGAATCCCAGGCCAGTTGTAAGATCTTATCTATAAACACTGCTGTGCCATGTTGTGGCCAAGGCATAGTTGCAACACAGCGTTTTTCCTTCCATCTCTCCCTCCCTGAAACACACACCTTGGGGAGATGGGATTTAGTAAGCCTCTTGGAACACACAGATTCGAACTGAAATATGAAACAAGAGCGGAACAGGTTTGTTGGCCTAACCCTACTCCCAACCCTTCAACCCTTCTACGAGTGTCCCTTCATGCAAGAATCTCTGTGAAGATTCAGGCAATAGGAAGCTGTGCATCTTTTGCATAGGCAGTCAGCAGGTTCAGTCGGACTCAGGCTACCCAGCCTGTTCGTCTGCGTGTATGTGCGCACACGCCTATGTTGGCTAGCAGGCAAGGTGGGCAGAGGCAGAGCGGGAGAGATGATAAAGCCTGGAGGGAAGAGGGGGAGAAGAAACCCACGCTGTGCCTGGTGCTTTAAATGTTTGGCCTGGCTTTGGAGGGAGAGCACGTGACTTTCTGCTTGAGGAAGCAGCAGCCGCTCTGGCAGCTTCCAGCGGGAGATGGAGGAGGAGGAGGTAGTGGCAGTGGGGGAAGGGAAGCAGAAGGAAAGGGAAGGGGCTGTTTAGAAACAGAGATTGCTGCAAGCCAGAGAAATAGATTCAGGCAGACAACAGGTAGCGGATAATGAAGGAACCTGAGAGGCTAGACACTCAGAGATCCAGTGTCAGAGCAGGTAGAATGCTGCTGTTCTCTGAGAGGGTTATGTTGATGCCCTGTCTCCACTGGAAGAATTTGCCTCATACTGAATAAATCTGGACCAGACTAGCATAGCAGAGAGATGGAGCACTTAGACATTATCATACCTATTCTGCAGCATGGAGCCCATGTTATCTCAGTTTGGGATGGAACACTTTGTAGGAATATGGGGAAATTCAGAGCCAAAAGCACACTACTACAGGAGGTCACTGGGTAAGGCCCCCTGACAAACTAGGCCTCTGCAGTATAAGGTTCCCAAACACAGCTGGCTTCTTCCCCTGCTTAAGCTCAGCATAACCTGTAAGTGAAGTCTACCTGATCTGTTTACATTGAGAGCTACAGAAATGGAGGAATCAGACAGCAATCCAGTTCCTAAGCAAAAGGGGCAAATTATGGATACATGTTGCATTTCCAAGATTCCAGGCACATCTCATCCCCAGTCCTAGCCTTTTCTATTCCCATTTGCCCTCTAGGAAACACTAACGAGATGATCCATACTTTTTGTTGTTATGTACAATCAAACAGTCTCTGATTTATGGTGTCCCTATGACCGAAAGTCCACCAAAATTTACCATCTTTGACATTCCTGCTTAGCTGTCCATTCTTGGCTTCACATTTCACAGCCATGGGCACTTAGGACAAGCATATTAAAAGCTCTGGAGCAAGTGTGGTAGGCTATACCTTATTTGGATGAGCACCCAAAATTTGCAAAACTAACTGACCCCATAGCATCCCCCAAACTTATCTGGAAACGTTTACTCTGAAGACCCAGGAATGAGAATGGTAGTGCTATGAGAGCCATTTTGGCCCACAGCTGCACATCTAGCCACAAAGCCAGCAAGCCTTCCTTTTCTCCCACTCAAAGTGAAAAGCTCTGGGGGGCTTGACAAGGAGAAAGAAACCATGCCCAATAGTCCCAAACAACCATGATGGCTCAACTATTTCTTCATGGAAAATTAGAAAGAGAAGTTGAAGGGTGCTTGCCCATCCTCTAAATAAATCCACTTCCTCCTCATCCTTTCCCAGAACCACATTGGCCCCGCCAAAATTGCCCAAATCTTCCATGCATGTAACTCCTCCTCTATCTGGAAGCAAACTCTGACCTCACAAAATTAGAGCAAACCCCAATAAATTACATCCTAGCACATTACCATGCCTTGAATATGTCAGTAACTGATCCTAAAACTGAAGACATTTCAGATTACAGAACAACATACACATTTGGAAAGGCATACTCCGTTTTCTTGCAATATCTTGCAGGAGATCGTACACCCCGCTGCTGAATGCAACCCCCAAGAGGAAGCCCTCCACACATTCGGAACAGGACCCATGCAGCCTCTACCACAAAGGACAGATCCCTCCCACAACTATTTTGGTAATGTTGATCTAGCTGCCCTAGCCCGACCCCCCCCCCATTCCCAGCATACCTCTAACTACACAGAGCCCCGTTCCCAATCCCCAAGACCCTCCCCCATCACAAGAGAAACTCCAATAGCTCCGCAAGCCCCAGCACCGCAACCCCCAGACTCCTTCGCCAAGAGATACCAGCAATTAGTAGCAAGCAAACACTCTACCGCGGGCGCACTGATCCCAAAGCAAAGCGAGGTTCCCCCTCTCGGCCAAAAACGAGGATTCCCGCGCCTCGTGCTTGGCTGGGACCCTGTAATCCCCCTGAAAATGTTGATTTTTGGCTCCTGCTTGGGGGGGGGGCGGTGTTGCTATGAGGTTGTTTTCTGTTTGACTGTTCCCGGTGGCAGAGGGGCCCGGGCAGGGGAACGGAGGAAGGAGGCTCCCCCAGGCTTCGAGAAGGATGTACGCCCATCCCATCCTTTTCCTCCCTCCTTCTCTTTCCCCGCGCGCTCAGACTCACCTGGGCATGCACAGCCCACTGACATCTTCACATGCCCGGCCTGGCGCAGGGGAGGTGCGATGTGCCCGCTCGGCGGGGCCCTGGCATCCGCCGCCCTGGGAGAGACCCCGGTCCCAGCCCTTGGGCAAGGCCGCCCCCAATCGCGGGGCCTCCCCGCTGGGAAGCGCAGGAGCCGCAACAAGCGGGGCAGCCGGATTCCACTCTTGCAGAGCCCGTCAGCAAGTCCAAGGCTGGGCTGGGTTGCGTTGGCCTCGCCGTGCGCGAGCCGACTACGCGCTCCGATCGGCTCCGAATCCGATCCGGGCGCTGATTAATATGCTAATTGCGCAGAGGAGAAGAAGGAGGAGAACGAGCGAGCGCGAGCTTGTCAAAGTGACCTGAGCCGAAAGCCGAGCACAGCCGAGCCGCGACAGGGAGGGGAAGGCGGGGGGAGGGGCAGCCATGTGACGCAGATGGGGGAAAGCACACCAATCTCTGCTGCAGCAGCCACCTTGGGCGGGCTCGCGCGAGGAGGCGAGGGGAGGGGTTAGGCGCGCGGTTGCAAATGTGTGCGCGCGGCGCTCTGGTCTCGGAGACATGTGCGGACACGTTTGCAGGCGTGCGTGTATGCATGCGGGCATGCAGAAGTGCAAAGACATAGTTCATGCGTGTGAATGTCGGTTTGGCGCAAACGGGGGCGGGGGGGTTGAAGCTAAATTCTGTAGAACCAGAAAGGTCCTCGAAGGATGACCTACTCTTTGGCTTTGACCTAGGAAAAGATGCCTTCTTTAGCTTGGTGTCTTCCTAGGCTTTATGATTTCCCAAAAATTTGGTCTTCATTGCCCAAATGCTCCGTACTGCCTTCATGTAAAGAGGTGGGGATGGGATGTGAGGGCTTCAGCCTGCTTACAAAGCCCTCTTGTTAAGCCAGACTTCCAAGGCTGTGCGGTGAATATTTTCGAATATCCAGCCCTGGCTACTCGAGTTAGATTTTACTGGACACACTGCTAAAAACAGAGACACATTGCTATATTCTGAAGTAAATGTTCCTGGAGCTACAGTACAGCTAAAAAGGTTCTTCATCCTCACCGGTTATCAGCATGGTCCCTGTCGAGTCGAAACCAAGTCGTCCTATTCTAGTTCTTGCAAAAAACCATTACAGAGAGGATTGCTGTGGAGGTAACTATGCTCTGCTTCCACCCCACTGAAAAAATGTTCTCCACCTGTCTTACCTGCTATAGTATGTTTCTTATGCTCTTTTCCATAATTAGCAGAGCACCACTAACACTTTCTGTGTCTAAGGTTCAAATGTGGCTTTCTTCTTTTTATGAGAGTCAGATTAGTGAGTCCTGTCATGTAGTTTGTGATGTACTCCAAGTGCTGCAATCTTTTTTCAGCAGATCTTTAATCCAAATCATTCTTCCCTCATACTATATATGTTGCTTGTGTTGGATTTCATTCTGCACTTCACTGCAGCTCTTCAAATTACTTATTTGTATTTGGTTTGTTAATTTTTATCTTATGCTTTCTCCAAGATACTTAAGGTACCAGTCATGTGTGTGGATCTTCCACCACCATTATATCCTCACAATAGTCCTGTGAAGTAGGATAGAATAGGAAATAATGTCTGGTCCAACATCACTTAGTGAGTTGCATGGCTGAGCAGAAATTGGAACCTGAGTTTCCCCAGTCCTAGGCACATGCTCCCTTAAATACATTATTAAGTGGAGGAGCCATAACACAGTGCTAGAACACCTGCTTTGTACACAGAATATTCCAGGTGCCATTCCAGTCATCTCCAGATAGAGTCGGAAAAACTCCCGCCTGGCATCACCAGGAGATTCTAAACAATCACTACTGACAATACTGGAGTAATGGACCAATCATCTGACTCCGTATAGGGCAATGTCCAGTATTCCTGTGTCACTGTCAAGAACAAGTTTGGTTTTAATTTATTTTAATGCATACTAATTTGATTGTAATGTTGATTATTTGAACCGTTATAGTTACAGTCTCAATTCCTTACATCCATTTGGTATATTTAGTGAGTGTCCTATCAATCCTTAAAAGTATTAAAAGAAATGAACCCCGCCCCCCCTGCAAATATGGACAGAATTCCAGAATCTTTTTCAATGCGAGGATTTGTTCTTGGAACATGTGGAGTAATATAACATAAGAGGGAGACTCTTCTTATATATCCAGTTAATTTCTCTTGCCACTAAAGAGCCACACCTGGATTGTCGCATAGAGGTATGAGGCACGGCTTCTAATCCATCAGGTCTGAGTTTCAGTTAGGTATACTTAGGCTTCAGTTTTTCTCTTTAGAATTTCAGCCCATTAAAGTGCTTCAAGATCTAGAAACTGGAAATACACAGTGTAAGTAATATTAATTTCCTTTCAGCATTCATTTCACCAACTGGAACTTACTACTGAATATCTATCGTTGGATTATGATGTTACCTAGTAGCTGGATATATCCCTATCTTTAATCATTACCATTTTTCCTACTACCGGTTGTTCCAACAATCACAAGTTCATGTTAAAATAATGTCAGATTTTTAATCAATGTGTGTTAATGGATTCCCGCCCGCCCCCCCACACTAGTGTTGTGTACAATAGTAAGAAACAGGTTCTTTTTTATCCGTTCATAATGATACCTCTCCTAGCTTTTCCCCCAAAACAGAGTCTAAACCCTTTAGGCACTTTTTCTTTAAATACTATGTTATCAACACTGTCAGAAGTGTGTGCTTTTCTTTGTATTTTTTCTAGTTCTACAACATGTTTTCCTAGATCCTTTTTAGTCATACCATCAATAAGGATCTTATAAGGACATCTATAAAACTCCAGTTCATATTTTCAGGTTTGTATAAAAACAAGGGGTGGCATAGAAATGTAATAATAATAATAATAATAATAATAATAATAATAATAATAATATTTGATCGAGTATTTAGCTTAAAGTAGTAGTGAACCTCTGTGTGATGGTAGATCTCTCAAAGACACATACATAACTTAAGAAAATGTCATGCAGTTGAACTAAATTATTGTATATGCATTATTTTTATTAACATCTCTTGGAACATTTAATCCAACAAAAGGTGTGCGTATGGGGGTGGGACAATAGTGGCATGTGAAGCTATAAAAAGGGAAGAGGAATCATGTTTTCCATTATTTTACTCACCACACTTTCCTCTAAGTGTTTGCATTCCACTGCTTAACCAAATTTATTATTTTAATAACCTGCTGAGTAGATGTCATAAAAACAAGCCAAGCTCAGGACGTAATAACATATGAAGAGACCTGATTACTCAATATTAAAATCTCACACTTTCAATGAGGAAAGCCCACCTGTCCCATAGCATTTTGACAGAAAATGTGTATTTGGCAAACCTTTGTTTCTTGCATCCTACTCAGCCTAGTATCTCTAAACCTGATAAATACAGCCACAATCACCTAGCCATTTAGATAGAGAGATGGGAAATCACATAAAAGCTTTCTTTGTGATTTTTAATTTTTTTTAACATTTCCTTGGAGGCTGCATGACTTTCTTCTTCTAGGAGATGTTTCCAAAGAGCTGAGCAGAGCATATTTTTTTAAGGGCAGAAAGGAGCAGGATGGCTTTTATACAGCGAATTTCACAGCAGCTGCCCATCCCTCCCACCTTCTATCCAATCTGTTGTGCATGGATGGCATGACATGGTAGCATTCCATTGACACTGAAACAGGACTTGTGGGGTTATTGCTAAATGCAGCCAGGGTGCACTTCAGATAATCTGTAAATGTACTTGTGGCTTTACCGTCCAATCTGGAGTCTTGGGAGCTGTGTTTTTCATGTCAGCCAAAAAATGCTCTGACCTAGCACCTGGACTTTGATTGCCCATCTAGGAAAAGGGTATGAGACAAAGATGATGTCATTGGCTAGAAGCTTATGGTACATGTGTCTGTAGAGCAAAGCATCTAGAAGCTGTTCAGCAGTTTTAGCAAAGGATAAAGGAACCACAGAGGAGATGGCATGGGAGGAGTTGCTGCTAATAAAAACATTAAAAGGACCCTCCCACTGGGAACACAGGGCTCCTGCAGACTGGAGTCAGGTCCTTCAGCAGGAATTAGTGGTATGAAAGAGGTTTCCAAACATGAGCTCATCTTGGCATAGCAGGACAGGAAATCTTGCTGTAACATTATAAATCCAAGTGTTAAGTTAGAGTGATGATGGGGAAGGAAGTGGAACAGTCTCGCAAGGAATCCTCACTTTGCCTCAGAAACAGTTTCTGTTTAAAATCTCTGTCAACCATGATACTTGCATAACATGCATATCAAGTTATGCAAAGTTTGCAAAGCAAAATAAAAGACGGGACATAGTCATTGCCATGTCCAAGAACAGAGAATATCTGTATTCTGGGGGACACTGTGTTCTCTGCTTAATAGTCTGGGGATTCCTCACAGATGGTCAGGCTCAATAACAAATGCAACTTTACCTAACTGCAAGAAGAGCTTCAGAAGCACATACATTTGGAGGGTTATCAGCTGGGGTAGAACAGTGATCCTTTAAGGTGTTCTCCTATATAGACTTATCTATAAGTGAAATAACCTTTTAAAAATACATTCTAAGCCAGCCTTCCTCACCCACTTCCCCTTCAGATGTTTTGGATGACAATTCCCAGCATGCCTAACCATTGGTCACATTAGCCGGTGCTGGTGGAAGTTAAAGTCCAAAACATCTGAAGAACATCAGATCGGGGAAAGTTGTTTAAAATGATATCTGATTACAGGCCAGTGGGTGCTTACCTTGATGGGCATCAGATAGGATTATAATTATACTGAATAATTAGATCAGGTATTGAACCTATGGCTCTCCAGTTGTTATTCTATCGCACCCAACTTTCATCAGACCCAGTCAACTTTGTCAATAGTCAATTTTGGGGTCTTGGGTACAACAACATATGGACAGCCACTTGTTCCCCATCTCTGCTAGAAGAAATTTTCCCACAGGGGATGGAAAAATTTGAGGGTTGAAATTTGGAAGGGTGGAATCCTACAAGATTGGGGTGAAAGTGATTTTTCCATATTTGATCAGTATGGAGTAAAAGCTGGCAATGCAATAGGAAAGATCCCAGATTTCAAGATGGAAATGTATTGGAAGGCTTTGTACCTCTAGCCTAGTAGGAATTTGCATTTTGTTCTATTTTATCTTTTACCTTTCTATTTCTCCATGATAATGATAATGTGCCTAAAATCACTAGCAAAGTATATTATAAAAGAAGAACAAATACCCCATTCTCCACACATCCAGCCTAAAATAACAAAAATTGTGAGGTAAAATAACACCCAAAGAATAAAGGATACATTCATAGGAGGAGGGAGCTTCTGGCAAT